TTTCCTTAATTCTGTTGTGAACAAATACGTCCCATACTTCATTCCTCTGTATCCAAGCTAGCACAGTAGACTAATCTGTCCAAAAATAAATATCATCAGCTTGAAATTCAGGTATTATGCAGGATGCTAAACATGTACATATTGTAGCTCCAAGAAGTTCCAACCAAGCTAATGTTGTCTTTTCCCTTCTGCTGGGTGCAACTCTCGCTTTAGCTTGCACAAAATGAACTTGAACCGAATCTCTTGTTTGTGTACTCGAACAAAGGCCACAGCTGAATATGCAAGTTTACTCGTATCACTGAAGAAATGAAGTGAGATATTTTTAATCTCACGATCACAGTTTAACCATCTTGGTATTCTCATTCTTTCCAGACAATGCAAATCATTCAACCATTTACAAAATTGTGATTTTGAATTTGAATCAACTTCTTGGTCCCAAGGTAACTTAACGTCTCATAGGTGCTAAAGTAAAAGTTCTGATACAAGAGTTATGGGGCAAGCTATTCCTAAAGGGTCGAATACTTTGTGTGTAGTAGCTAAAATCTCTCTTTTAGACAAAATTTCTGGTAGATTGTAGGTGATGTTAGCAAAGGTAATCTCCACATCGTTCCCAAATCATTCCTAATACATTTGTGGTACTAGAGGAATTATCTGTTGGGTCACTATATTCCCAACCATGTAATTCTAGCTTTCTTGTACCTAAAGTATCTGAAGCAACTTGTATGAATTGTAGCAATTCTAAATCATTTTTCATTCTCGCTAAGCAATTATCTATATAAAAGCTCTTTTTCAATTGCTCAATAATATCCACTTTATACTTTTCATTTAGTTGTTTCACAGTGGATTCTAGAAGATGGTGAATTACAGAAAATAGCAAGAAAGGGCTACTTGTAACTGCAAATACTACCCTAGAATGCCTGTAATACTTCAGTTTTCCATCAGTTCTATACCATAAGAATCTTAGATAGTCTTTATCCTTAGGGTTGAGACTTATTTGTAAGAATGCTTTTCGTATATCTGCAGAAACTCCTATTCTGTTCATTCGGAATCTATGAAGAATTGAAGGAATCAGTTCAATAAGTTTCTGACCTTTTTCTAGACAATCATTGATACTAGGTGATCCTCTTTGTTTGGCTGAGGCATCAAACACTAGCCTGATTCATGTAGTACTGTTTTCTTTTACTATGTTTAGTATGTGTCGATGTGGTAGATAATGGCATGTTGCATCAGTTTTGCTTTTGGGTGCTTCTTCTATGACGCCTTCTCGTTCCCATTCACTAAAAACTTCTCCATAAGCATCATAAAGTTTCTCAGCTTTTAGTCGTTTTACTGTAGAAGCTAATCTCTTTACAGCTAAGTCATAGTTATCTTTTAACGGTAGATGGTTATCAAGCCATGGCAAGCTGACTTGAAAACGTCCCTCTTCGTTCACCTTTACAGTAGACAAGAAATGATCTCTTCCCTCTTCTTGCAGTTCCAGTTTATTTTTCTTCTCTGAGGGATCTAAAATTCCAAGTGAATCTAGAGACCATAGATCGGATACAAATATTTCCTTATTTAACATGGATGTGACGAGCAGTGCGGAATTGCCCGAGATCTCACGTATGCCATTTTTCCCAAAAAGAGTCCAACCAAGTTTAGTTTCTATAGCAACAAGGCCTGAAGTAAACAATTTAAATCCTCCGTTCATCAACTTCCCTGCAATGTCAGCGCCGATAAGTATTTCTATTGGTCCATTACTATCGTCGCATACGGATATATTGTTCTCTTTAAGCTCTCGAATCCACTTGCCATTAGCAACTGGTGGTATACTTCCACAAATAATATCTTGGCTAAGAGCTTTTGAAGTTACAAAGATAAGTTCCATCCGTTTTAGACAAGAACACTGTAAAAAACATCGTGGTTTATGACATCAGTACATGACCCGCCATAATGAATGGCTCAATCTTTCTTTAGATGTACTCTTAAATTTCATTTCATCTGCAGTGCTTTTTAAAATATAAGATCTTTGTGAAGCTGAATCGATAATAGCACGGGCCTGGCGCTTTCTATCTCGCCCTTTCAATGTAACCGTAAAAGTTTGCAAAAACACATTTGTTGTTCTCGCCAAATTGGCGAAGAGTTTCATCTCGTTCAGGTACTGCATCCGTATTTTCATATCCTTATTCATGCTAACAGGAACTGGAGATTTTTGATTACAGCTTGGATATTTCTTACATAAAAGTATGTGGTGTTTCTTCCCACAAATCACACACGATGTTCGTTTTTTATATTTAGCTATTACATGTTTTCTGTCTAAACATAAAAAGCACTGCGACTATTTAGAACTGCTTTTTTGCCTTTCCTCAGACGTCATCTTTCTTGCTTAAAGCAATCACCCAGATGCATGATTTCCAGCCAAAAAAATACATCCAGTTGAATTTTGTTCAGATTTTGCTATTAGAGTAGAAGCAGAAGGTGTTTTGGAAAATTCTCCACGGTTTTTGAAACCAAAGTGTTTAGCATTCCCAGGCTTAGGTCTGATATTTAGTAAAGCACTGAGTAGCTCTAGATACTCTCTCTTCACCTTCAATTTCATCGAGCAAAAATGAAAGCAAACCGTCTAAATCCATGCGATGTGTTGACGAATTTTTCTCTTTTTGCTCACTACTTTCAGATTCTCTCTGACTGTGATTAATAACTCGGAACTTTTGCCATGCTCTTAATGTATCATCTGGCAATGATGATTCGACTAGAGGATATAACATTGCCGCATATTTATCTCTACCAACACCCACAACTTCTAATGCTCTAAGTTTTGATTCTAAGTTATTATAGAGTTTTCGTAATGAAAATTTTGGCTGAGAGTTTTTTAATAATACTAACGAAAGTAGCTCTAACACAGACTTCTATAAGAAGGTCTTCTTTCCCAAAACGCGATTGCAGTTGTTCTAAAGCTTTACTATAACTTTCGCCACCGGGCGGAAAGCTTTTGATTAACTCTTCAGCAGATGACCCTTTTTCCATAGACTGCAATAATATGCAAATTTATCATGATCATCTAAATTGGGATCTCATATCGATCTTTTTAAACTGGCCCCAAAATCCTAACCAGCTTTTAATATTCCCATCCAAAATCGGAAGTTTAAAGTTTAGGAAACGAATAGTAGCATTTTGAGTTAAGCTTTCATTAACAACAGAACCTTTCCTTTTCAGCTAAAGCGAAACTAATTTACTTTTACTACCATTCTCACTTTTCAATATAGCATTCCGACTCATCAAACTCGGTAATTTACAGTTTCATCTTTTTAATTTTAATCAATTCTTCTCTATAAGTCTGTTCTATTTCAATCATAGGTTTTGCTTTGTCCTCAACTAATTTAAGTTTTGAAATTTTTCCGTCTAAAGATAAATCATTTTCATTCTTCTCAAATCATTTAAAGCTCTTGTAATCAATCTCTTAAATTGAGATCGTTTGCACTTCAAAACATCCATTATAAATAAACGAAAGAATTCTACTTACAGATAACAGTCCTTCCAGCGGACGCCAAATGTTCAAAAATTCTCACCAAATTTGTTACCTCAAGAACTATTTATTATGTAAGCACGATTGTAAATTATTTAATTGTTATTAGACAAAATATCTATTGAGAAATGGCAAAGCTAATTTCTGGATTTAGTTCTATTTATAATTTAAAAAATCTTGCAGATGATGTACGCTTTAAATGTTTAACGGTACATTCAGTAAGTACTATTGTTATGTTATGTACGTTACGAATACGACGTGGGTTATTAAGATTATCTTTAAATAATGTTTGTTTGTCTCTTACAACCATTTTACGAGTGATTAATTTAACTACAAAGGAAGTTTAACATAAATCAGAAGCGAGATTATTCTGAACCTAAGCCTAAAGCCAAAATTTGCTATACTAAATAAATTAAAAAGAATTTGAATTTCAAGTATGTCATTAATTGATTAACATAACATTATAAATTTAATTTTGTTATTTTTTTTTATCATTTTGAAAGAGAGTTTTTGTTATTTTCATTTCTTTAAATTTTTAAATATTTTAGAACGTCAAACAAACTTTATAAAATACCAATAATTGTTTTCTACTAAGTTGTCTATTGGAAGTTAATAATAGCATAATATATAATTTGATTTTAATAGTACAAATATCTATTTTCGGTAAGGCAAAGAAATGCGATTTAAGAATTTAGCTGAAGAATAGGGAGAAGATGTAAATTGTTGCTCCATCACCGAAAGAAAACTCTACAGTATCAACACAATGAAAAAGGTGAACCAAAATGTTTCACTGTAATAATTTTGGACCATCTCAGGGACTGTCCGCTGCCCACCAGTATACATCGAAAATGTAATAAACATCTAAGCTAAAAATTGTGTTAGTAAAGCTGAAAATAAGCATCAAATGAAAAAATTTTCTGTTGAGGTGTGAAAATTGAAGAGAACAATCACATTTGAAGAAGCAAAACTGAAATTCTGAAGAAGTACAGGCTTTAATTGATACGGGGAGTTCTTGTTGTCTCTTAAGACTTCAGTTGCTGAGAACTTAAAGTGAACTCATCTGCTATGAAGAATTTACGGTTTGGGAAATCAAAGGTGCCCTGCAGTGACCTCTATAGGAATGATTAAGCCAATGAAGTGATAATATAAAATACCAAGGCATAAAATTACCTTTACCTGATAATGCACAGCCAGTTGATCTAATCATCGGACAGACATGGTTTTTGATCTCCCTCACATCGCTTATGTCAGAATAGGAAGAAGATTTCACTTCGGGTATAGGGAAGATGAACTATTTAGTAACCTTCAAATTGATGAAAAAATAAATCGAGTCTGCCTTAAAAACTCTTGAGGAAAATGAATTAGATAAAAATACGATTAGTCTTGTCAGTTCTCAAACAGATTCTGTAGATAGTGGAATAATTATGATACAAAATCCTTCCGAAGGTATCGGCTTTTTATTAGAAATTACAAATGGCGAAACTTGTATACCAATGATTAACGTTGGCGATAGAAGTGTTAGGCTCCAAAAAGATCAGTGCATTGGGAGAGCAGAAGTTAAACTGTGTTTAAATACGGAAATTTCTGAATTGAGCTCGAACTTAGAGCAAAAACGGAAAATATTAACAACATAAAAGTTCCTATAAGTTTAAGCGAAGTTAAAATTGCCTCGGATCTCGACATTGATCACAAGTAAGAGTTATTGCGTCTTGCGAATGAATACAGAGATTGCTTCGCATTAAATATTTCAGAACTCGAGTGCCCTGATCTCATAAAAATGGACACTAAAGAAGATATATTCGTTCACCTAACTGCAATAAAGAAAAACAATACAAAAAGTGCTGTTCTAAGTGTAGGAGATAGTGAATTAGGTGCATTTGAAGTTGTTCGAGAGAAGGGGAATGAAGTTGCAAATCTGATTAGACTGAATGGCACTTCGTGAAAAATAGTCCCTATGCTGCAAATAGAAATCGATACTGTGGCCAACTGTTCTCTAAACACCACTTCATCCAGGCAAAGACAGAAGACGAAATGATGTAGTCAGCCAAAAGAATGTAGATGATAACAGCAACTACAACCTCAAGCCCGTTATGAGGCAATTCACACCTTACTTCAGGCATATTGTAGTTATATATCCATAGACTTCCACAAAACTTGACGTGATGGAATGAAGATGACAAAATAAAGAAAAAAACGACAAGCGTTTCAGGAGGTGGAAGAGACAACTGAAATCCCAGACGATTTACAAGGTGCTTTTAATAGAAAACCCCCTATCATGGAATGACACTCAGCAGTCAAAGTCTAATGAGGAGAAGAACTAGTAAAGACTGAAGCAAATGGCAAACAGCAGCCCGTGCGTCAGGATATAGATCTTGGTCCACTTTACAACCAAAAATGGTTGTCGAAAGCCCCACCAAGCTGATTCACGTGCTAAATGAGATCTTCGAGGCCATCATTTCCAGAATACAGAGATGATGATAATGACGAGGTTGACGACGAACTTAAAAGGCCAAGCGAATAGTGCGCAACCATTGCGCTATAGAGACTTTGTGTAGACTTGTAGAATTTTTTAAAATTATTTAATTTTATTTTTTCTCCTACTTATTAATTTGTTTTTATTGTCTTTAATGTATGATAAGATTTGATTCATTGAGGACCTGAAAAGTCAGGATGGTCGAACGTAAGCACGATTGTAAATTATTTAATTGTTATTAGACAAAATATCTATTGAGAAATGGCAACAGCTAATTTCTGGATGTCGTTCTATTTATAATTTCAAAAATATACTTGCAGATGATGTACGCTTTAAATGTTTAACGGTACGATGCAGTAAATACGTTACGTGTAAGTTATTAAGATTTATCTTTAAATAAATGTTTGTTTGTCTCTTACAACCATTTTATGAATGATTAATTTAACAACAAAGGAAGCTAACACAACGGACGCCAAATTTTCAAAAATTCTCACCAAATTTGTTACCTCAAGAACTATTTATTACTTGGAAATAACTATCTATATCTCTTTAGTTATTTATGACTCTAAAATAATTAAATTATTTCTTTACTCATACTCTCAAATGATGAAAACAAAAGTTACACTAACTCTCTAAAAAGAACAACATAGTATATTGCCATTCTCTGAAACATAAAGTGTTATAAAATGTAGATAATAATAACATGAATAGATAATGAATAAAAAAAAACCTATAAAGAAGCTCATGCAATATTACTCAAGCTGCAGTTAGAAAAAAATATTAGAGTCAAAATATTGTTCAGAAGGCATTTATTTGTTTTTATGATCTCATACTGTACCAGAAAATTTTAAACTCGTTATAAATTTTTAAATGCTGATATAATATTTAAGATATGCATTAAACTTTAAAACCAAAGCAAAAATTATCATTAGATACAGACAGACACAGATTGCTAAAATAATATAACGTATAAAACTTACTGAGGACGAATTTCTCCCAATGATACCACTGCAATTCGCAGAGCCACAAAAGCATTTCTGTTGACAACTGGTATCACATTCATAATTAAATGTTAGTTCTTCACCTGAAAAGAGGAAGAAAAGTACTGTACAGTCAAATTTAGAAACTGAAATAGAGGTACCTACGTTTTAGGAAAGTAGTAGAGCAAACCTGAAAAACTTTCAAAAGACGAAATGAAAAAAATTACATTAAATTATATAGCCAAAAATGCAAATGTTCCCAGGACTCCAAAACTGTATCAGATCATATCAAATTGCTCTTAAAGGCCCAAAATGACATTAAAACAAATAATGATATAGTATATAGTATGTGGCTGTATAAATATTAAAACTGGAACTCTAATAGTGCCAATTAGTTATTTGTGAGTACAACTAAAACAAGATATCTCAGCAAAATCTTTACTGTCCTTCAACATAAATCACCAGCGTTGTATACAATCAACTACCGAGAATGTGAAAGTTCTATTATACCTGTAGCAACAACTGCTCTTTTCCCGACTTACATGGATTGGTCTTCTGCCAGGAATATTACTGGAAAAAATTATAAATAGAAAAACTGCCATGAAATGGTTCCTTCATCTCAGAAGTCAAATTATAGTCAGAGGCAGTTAAAGTGTAAGGATTATGGTGAACAAACAATACAGCACATTTTGTTGTCAACGAACAAAACATCAGCTGCAGAATGTGCTACATGCAGCCAACCATTGTCCAAAAACAATACGAGGAGTTGCACAAAGTATCACCGTACGTTTGCATTGCCAGCTGCAAGTTAAGCTTCAAATATGAACAATACAACAGCAAATTGAAGGCCTATCCGTGTAAGTACTGTATGTATTTAATATAGTCCTACCAAAGCTGCATGGGAAAATCAACATACCCATCACTGTGTTCAGGTCCTGATGAATTTCTTTTTCTGTTTCTTTGTTTTCTTGGTGGAGGGAATGCATAATGGTCATAACATGACTTTTGCTCAAATGTGTTTGAGCACATCTTCCTACAACACTTCTACAGTTCTAGCAACTCTGCTTCTACTGCTTTAAGAACGTTATCGGGACAAAATTTTAAAACCACCAATTCATGCAATACAAAACCCTATACTTCTCATCTATTCAAATGCATGTGGCCCAAAGTAAGCTTACTTCTGCAAATTAGGTCAGGTATGAAACCATAGTGCAGCTGTAAATGGAAAACACTAGTTGAGTTTCATGGTGTGTATATGTTACTATAAGCCACCGAAATTAAATATCGATATTTTCTTAGTAAATCTCGGTAGGGATGAAAACTGCAAACCAAGAGAGAAGCAAGAAAGGTACGAAAATCTTTATTCTAATGCAACTAAGGTCAACTGGCATCTAGTTGTTAGATTCTCAAACACTCTGCTGTTTCTCAGTTATATAGAAAGTTTACTGAAGCATTTAATTTTTATTTTCTTGCAGTGGGGCCTGATCTTTTCTGGAAAAGTTTTATGCATTAATCATGACTAAATAACACTATGATTGATACCTATAATGCATTCTGATAAAATTTCTGCTAAATTAGGTAAATAGAATAGCTAATGAAGGAGGAACATGTATGCTTAAAGAATTCCAAATTAAATACAAAAATATTACGTAAGAATTTGTAATGCTGTATTTATGCAAATAATGTCAAATGAAACACAGTGTATCTAAGAAATTGTTATGAAATCAATGGCCAGTTCAGCATTAAAATCAAATTGTCAAGACATTCTGATAGACTTGCAGCTACACAGAGATGGAACAGTTCATGATGATTTTTCATGACCATTTAATGAAGTTTGTCAAGTTACTACCTTTAAAAATTAAGATAGTTTAAGAAATAACATATCACATCTTTCAAATGTTCTTAACATTTGAGGCCCCAACTATACTGCATTGAGATAAAGGGAGTCATATCTGAACTATGTGCTATTTGTGGTAAGACCTGCGTAATGCTAGAGGGCGCTCAGAGCACCTTGAGTGTGTTCAGATCGTTGATGGAAGATGTGACGCTGTGAGATTTCTGAGATTGTGATATTATTCTATTTAATTATATCAATTTATATTTTATTGATTTCCTTAATTGAAATTTTATGCAATACTATGAACCACCACAATATTCGAAAGTTGGATTACCACTGAATCTTCAAACCACCGATGTGCATTAGGTGCTTCTCGGCCGAAAACCAGGTAACAGAATCTTTATTGAATTATTGAAACTGCATAGAAATTATCTGGATAGAAATTAAATATGGCTGAAAATCTGTCAATGTTAAAGAAAAAACACACTTTCATGCGTTCGATGTTGACGAAATTAATCAACAAAATAGAAGTTGCTATCAACAATGAAAACGAAACAGCTCATCAGTTGGAAGCATTTTTAGAATAATTAATCGGAAAAGAAACTGACTAAAATTCTTTAAATGATGAAACTGAAAATCTTTTGAGCGTCGAGACAACATTGTCTCGAAGCTTAAGAAGAAATCGAAGAAAAATACTTTTTTGGAAATTGAAATTTCATTCTAAACTAAAGAAGACGAATTCTGATTCTATCCAAGTTGATACAGATTCACAAAACATTCAGTTGATTTATAATCAAATTGAAAATATAAAATTGCCTAAATTACATATTAGTAAATATTATGGTAGTTATTCAGGTTGGATAGATTTTTTACAATTTATTTGAAAGCTCTGTTCATATTAATCGTAAATTAAGCAAGGCTGATATATTTAACTATTTTAAATCGTACCTCGGTGGTACCGCGGCAGCATGTACTAGTGGATTTGCTTTAAGTGATGAAAATTACGATAAAGCACTTGATTTATTGAAGGAAAGGTTCGGAAATAAAAACATTTTGATTAATATTCATTTGAGTGTTTTGCTGAATTTAACTCCTGTCAAAAACACTAACGATGTTATAAGTTTACGAAATTTATATGATAACACGGAAATGCAGATCAGAAGCTTAGATTCTTTAGGAATTACTGGTGAATAAATCGTATGCAAATCTATTGACAACAATTTTATGAATTATTATTCCTTCAGATTCATTTTACAATTTATCGGCATTCGAGGCGACAAAGAATTTGACTAAAAACTCTTTTGCAATTCATTAATAAAGAAATTAGAAGCTGTGAGAGATCCTTTCCAATAAATAATTATAAATCATCGAATCAGCGGGTGCATTTATTTTCCTCGCAACAGAAAATAAAAGTAAAAATTCTACTTCCATTAGACACAACTCTTCAAAACCTCTACATAAGAGGGAGAATTCTTTATCTCCCCCCACACATGCACGAATTCCTGGCGTCAGTCGAAAATGTAATGTGTCTATTTTTAGCAAAGGTTATAAATCAGAATCGTGCTCTACATTTAATGCAAATAATGAAAAGGGAGAGATATTGAAGAACCAGTTATGAATATGATATTAGAAAATAATGAGCACATAGAAATGACAAGGTTTTTGAGATTGAAATCATCTTTTAAAAATGACCCTTCCTAATTTTGTGAATATAACACTGTTCTAAAAAATTATCTTTCGGAGAATATTCGAACCTGTCCTAGTTGACGAAGTAAATTAACACCAAAATTAATTTAATCTACATCATCGAGATGTAATACGTATGGATAAGACTACAAGCAAATTACGCAATGTGCTTGATGCTTTGGCGAATACAGAAGGTCAATTATCTTTGAACGATTGCTTATACACAGGACTTAATTTTATTCCTAACCTATTTCTTCTTTTGATCAGATTTAGAACGAATCCGATAGCATTTGTTGCAGATATTTAAGATGGCCTTTCTCCAGATTGAAATAGATGAAAGTGAACGAAACTACACCAGATTCTTCTGAGAAGAAGATCCAGGAACTGATGATGAAAACAGAAAATTGGAAATTTTTCGGATGATAAGGGTATTATTTGGGGTGAGATCTAGCCCGTTTCTCCTTGCAGCCACAATCAAACATCACTTGAAAAGGTACGTAGATATATTTCCTGACTTCTAAACATCTTAATGAAACATTGTATGTCGACGATTTTATTTGTGGGCAAGTCACTGTTCAACAGGCTCTAAAGACTTGTAAACAGAGTGTAGACATTCTAAAGGAGGCAAGCATGGGCCTTCGAAAGTGGAGAATCAATTGTCCTGAGCTAATTAAAGAATTTAAATTTCAATGTAGGTCAACGTGAATAGTGTAGATACAAACTTGATAGTTTTAAAATTATTGGGAATTGGTTGGGATGAACAAATTGACACTTCCCCCCCCCCCCGATACCAGAAATTTGGAAACATTTCTTTTAAAAAGAACTAACACAAAAAGACACTATAAGCTGTACGTCGACTTTTCGATCCAATAGGTTTTATAGAACCACATACTATTAGAGCTAGGTACTTGATGCAAGAAATTTGGTGTTTAGGACTGGGATAAAAAATTGTGTAAACAGTTTGAAATTGCTTGGAATAAATGGTGCAATGAGATTCAAAATGTAAAGGAAATAATTATTCCTCGATATCATTTTCAAAATTCTTTGCGTAGACATGCAATCACTATTCAATTACACTGTTTTTCAGATGCATCTAAAAAAGCTTATGGTATTGTTGCATACTTACGCATAGAATTAAAGGGTGGAAATATCATTTCTAAGTTTGTAGTATCAAAGGGCAGGGTAGATCCGTTAAAAACCCTTTCGATTCCTAGACTGGAGCTCATGGGTGCACTTTTGTCTTCAAGATTGAGCAATAAAATTGTAACTGCATTAAGTTTTCCTGTTTTTCGATATTTTTGGACAGATTCCTCAATAGCTTATTACTGGATCAAAGGTGATCCAAATAGACATAAGGTGTTTGTGAAGAATAGAATAAAAAAATACAGCAACCCAAAGGAATGGCACCATTGTATAGGAAAGAATAATCCTGTTGATTTGATTTCTAGGTGTTTATCCTTAAGCGAGCTCAAGACAAATCACCTCTGGTGGCATGCACCCTGTTCGTTGACAATGAATAATACAGCATGGCCATCTGCCTTAGAGTCAATGGAAGAAACCAAAATAGATGTTGATAAGTTA